CAGACCCAAAGAAAAATTTAAACAAATGTGTACTCGTATATGGCACATCGATGGCAAGTGTCACGACTTTGGGGTATACCATTATAAATTTCAGAATCGATTATGGGATTTCCCATAAGCCAATCAAAACTGATTTCCATTTTCGAAATTAATTGAAAAATTTATATCATTAACTTTGATCTGAAAAACAACTAAAGTAAACAAAAGTTCACTTTTTAGATATTTTTATGGTAATTTTTGCCTTTAAGAAAGTTTACTTTTAATAAAAGTTTTTCTCGAAAATCTCTCATAAAAGCCAAATAAAGTTTTTTGTTAATCAAATATGAAGTGATTTATGAGCGAATGTGAGGTAATAAAGTAAAAAAAAAAACATATGGAAAAATCGTACGTCCGCCACTGGTACTAAATTCAATTTAAAGAACATCAATGAAGATACTTTAATGTGTAAATTCTCGATAGAAACCTACATAAATCCTCTTACAAAATAAATTAACTACCATAGAATATTCTGTTCCGTTTTACAGATTTCTGCGTTTTACTAGATCAAGCCAAAGTGCACTTCTATTTAGCGTACATTCGGGACCTCAAGCTTATTGCTTTCTTTATAAAAACGAACTATTATATGAACCCTATATTTTGTAATAAACGTAAAGCTAATAAAAAATTCGATAGCAATCATGAAAAAACTTTATATTTTAAATATAATTAGGGTTTAAAATAATTTCCTAAGAGCTGTTTTAAAAGCGTTGCTACCAAATATCCCATCTATACTCTCATTCAATCCCGTAGCAATATACCATCGTAGATCCATATAAACCCTTGAATTGATTCGCATGCGGGGTACAAAAATCTGATACATGGTCGAAATTGGAACTCTGGCGACAGGCTGCCATTTGCATTTGGTCCAGTCCATAGATGCCTGCCATCTAGGCATAAATTCTATTATAAATAACATTTAGAGCGAAAGCCGGAGCGCCGAGCGCGGCTTTTGCATTTGTCAGCGATGGAAATTGGACTGAGAATATATGTATATGCCACTAAATGTTTGTGTGTGTGTGTGTGTGTGTGTGGAGGGAAAATACAAATTGTGGTTTTCTAAATTGAACAGCGAACACAGAGTCTGAGGAAAATTGAGAGTGGTCTCTGTATGCGATGCATAATCAGATTTGCTGATTTAATTTTTCATGAAATTTTCTTAATTTTTCTGCTGTGCGGTTTTTGAGGCTACCATAAATGATTGACAGTCCGGACAGCCGCACAGATTGGATATGCGTTGATCATATCCAGGACAGATTTTCCCCAAAGGCCTTGCAGGATATATTTCAGTATAATATTCAGCGTATAAACTGATTTATTGGCCCTTGACAAGCTGAAGATGTGGCTGCCACACTGTCTTCGGTTCAATCAGCATAATGAAAATGCTGTGCGTCAATTAACAGACACCCAAACAAGCCGACTGCCTGCCGGCGAATTACCGCCGCTAATTAACGTTTCATAAACTGTATTGCACATTACGTATACGACGTGTGTCCGTCAGTCAGTCAGTGGATGCATCAGGGCAAAGGGAATTTAATGAAATTAGCAATGGTTGAGCCCAAGCGAACGACTTGTAAACGCAGCACCAACAATCGCTAAATGCAAACAATCATATGTGCGAGAATAACCAACTGCCGACAACGAAAAACAAAAAAAACAATTACGCAAAATTGTCATAATTACAGCATCACAAACACAGACAACAATTGCCACAAATTGTGACAATTTGCCGCCTGATTAATGACCGTCTGTGGCCATCCACCAGACACAATAGACACACACACAGATGTGAGATTATTTGCGGTAATATTTTATGGCCATCAATTGAAAATGATATTCGTGGAACAGCGAAATCCAACCATCAAATCAAACATTAGCAAAAAACGACCTATTAGAATTGAAAATAATGTACGTGCACAGATAAATGAATCAGCAGCTGCCACAGAGTATTTATTTATTCATTCATTGGAATTGGGCATAACGCCTTGGCCAGTGATCGACGGGGGCAGCATTGATCCAATTTTAGATGCTTCAGCGCCTCAGCCACAAAAACAAGTATCGATTGACCCCACATTTCCACACAGAATTATAAAATTAGCGAAGGGCAAATAAACTTTCTGATTAAGCTAAGTGAACACCAACCTATCGGAAGCAGACAGCTGTCAATAACCATCTGCAGAGGGCTCCTTCAGATTGTGGTGCCACTTCCTCAGCACAAGCACGGGACATTCAGTTCATCGTTTACTCCAAGAGCTGAAAGTAATACCGAAATGATAGTCAAAATAAAAGTAGTGCTGATACTGCTACTAGCTCAGGCAGTGTCTGGGAAAACCGAGCAGCCCCATATGACATTCCTCAACAATCTCATCCAAAGTATCCACAAAGAAGTACCGATTCGGACCTTACTCATGCTGCAGCACCATCAGGACAAGTACTGCTCGATTCAAGATTGGAATCCCGATGGTATTCCCATCCTACGAGTCAACGAGCTGATAGAAATAGACCTGAGGAAGCACTTCAATCACATGTCGGCGGCATTGGTCTGCCTAGAGGAACCCTCCCACATGAGTCTGCTCCTAGATGCTCTGGCCAAGTCATTCGATCATTTGCGGTATGTGCGAATCCTACTGTGGACCCAAGGGAATCCAGCAGAGGAATTCCTCAAACAGATCTCCGACAAGGCCGAGGAGCATCAATTTCTTCAAATGATCGTTCTGGGCTGTCATCAAAGAGGGGAAGTTTCCCTCCATCGTTTATGTTCATTTCCCAGTCCTCAGTTTGAGCGGATTGAGAATATCTCGAGCATTGCAGGCTCCACTTTCCACCCGCGTGAACTGAACTATCTAGGAAAAAAGGCACTTGTGTTTCCAAATCGGGACTCACCCGTAAATTACACCACCAAGTATGCACCAACGGGCGAGTTCCCCGTCACACGGGTGGAGGACAAGCAGATCATTGAGTTTGCTTTGAGATACAATTTGACTTTGGTACTAACGGAGAAACAGGACTCCGACGTGGCTGATCCGTATTTCGATATTCAGTTAAATCCTCGCCCAGTCTTGAGTGACGATCTTGTCGACCAAATCGAATGTGTTAATACTTTCTCTGTGTCCTCGCTGATGGTTGTGGTTCCCTGCGGCAGGGTGACAAACATCACAGATGTTTTCCATAAGCTGGACTTGAGGACTTGGCTCCTGTACATCCTATCCGTCTATGCCACGTTCGTGGTGGCGGAGACCGTCATTATGGTCGCAACCCATCGCATCTCAGGCCGTTCCTATCGTCTAACCAACCTGAATCCCTGTGTGAATATGCGCGCCTTCAGGGCCATCCTGGGACTCCCCTTTCCCATTGGCCCCAGACTGACCGTCTCGCTCCGCCTGCTTTTCCTGGCCATGAGCTTGTTCGGAATGATCTTCAGCACCTTCTTCAGCTGTAAGCTGAGCTCCCTGCTGACCAAGCTTCCACTGCAACCTCAGGTGGAGAGCTTCGAACAAATGGAGAACAGTGGTCTGACCGTAATTGGAGAGAGATCCATGCAACCCTTCATCGAGAGTGAGGTTGATGAAGAGTTCGTCAGGCGATGCTTACCAAATATAAAGTACCTAGACGCTCTGGACGTAATTAAATTGATAATGCATTCAAACGGCAGCTCCGCCTTTGTAGTTTTTACAGAGTTTTGGGGAATACTTGACACTTTTCAGCAATCGATGGAACAGAAAACTGTATGCGTATCAAAGAACCTATCAATCATACGGAACCTACCAAGGATGTACGTAATGCCGAAGGACTCCATATATAGGTGGCCAATGAACAAGTTCTTCATAACATTGTTTGAGTCCGGAATCCCCTCACATTGGCTACAATTTTTACCAACTGCTATTCGAAGGAGTCTCAATATCACTTTTCAACCGGATCTTAAGCCAGAGTTCGTTCCTTTATCCCTCCAACATTTGAGATGGCTGCTCTGGATCCTTGGCTGTGGCTACGGATTGGCCACTGTGGTCTTTCTCGTGGAAGTCTATATGGGAAATAAGAAGAGAAAAGTTGAAAACAAGGTACCTGCTTCTCGAAGACACCAGGAGGGTGCTGCAGTCTAATTATCTGCTTAAAATTGTAAACATTGCATGAAATTACTAACAAGAATGCACTCAAATCTCACTATATGAATCTCTTTGACAGTCACAGATTGCACATTGCCTGTTCTTAATGTACCTGAAATATATTTCATAAAATACGTGTGTTTTGTTAATGCTTCTTTTATGGTTCCGAGTCTCGGTGTTTAGTATACATATGGTATACCGGATTCTGTCTAACCGTAATCGTGGTGGGACAGACAAGGCAGACCGCGATCTCTCTCAATTTTGCTTGCACTTGACACGAGTGATGGCATTTTTAGTTCCGTTTTGCCTTAAACAAATTCAAGAATCAACAATTATATAGTCTATAGACACGTATTGACTTAATAACTTTTAAAAACTTGCATTGAAAATACTGGAATTCAATAGAACATAAATAAAAGAATAAAAGTGAGAGTGCGGATAGCCTTTCTTATAAAGAGCGGGCTTCCACAGTCGACCAAATGATTCGAGATCGGGTATATCCATGAAAAGGAGAGATAAATACATCGGTTTTCACTTTGAACTCCTCATCTATCAGCTTTTAAATTCACAGATGGACAATTCCTTATAGTTTTCATTATGTTATCGGCTCCATCAATTGACATTCGACCACTAAAAGGTAGCTGTCATATGATGAACCTGCTTTGACGTTTGATTAGTTTTTTCGCTTAGAGAAACCCATTTGAAAATTGAGTTCAACCATTGCGAAATCTTTATTAAGAATGTGCCATTAGTAAATTTTAAGTATATACGAGTAAGATACATAATTGAGATTAATTTTTGCTAGTTTTGTATGTTTCTGTAAGGTTTACATTTAGAATATTAAAAATTTAAAGTGCACAATTAGACCGCGTCGATCTCCGAGCTTCCTGGAGGGGCAGGTACTTTGCTCTCCACTTTTCTCTTCCGATTTCCCATATAGACTTCCACAAGAAAGACCACAGTGGCCAAGCCGTAGCCACAGCCAAGAACCCAACCCAGCCATTTTAGGTGATGCAACGACAAAGGAACGAAGTCTGGCTTAAGATTTCGTGGAATAGTGACATTGAGACGTTCCCGGATATTATAATGAAAAGTGCTTTTCCAATAAGAGGGGATTCCGGACTCGAAGAACGTCATAAAGAATTTGGTCAGATGCCACTTATATATCGAACCCTTCTGCATTTTGTACATCTTCGGTAGGTTCTGTATGATGGATAGGTTTTTTGACTCGCAGAAAATCTTCCTTCCAATTATCTGCTGAAACCTTTCGAATCCTTTCCAGGAGTCTCTAACAACTATAAAGGCGAGACTTGTGTTCCCTGCGATCAGTGCGTCAGCGTACTTTAGAGGGTCCAGATACTTCACATTAGATAAATACCGCCTGGTGAACTCTTCATCAATCTCGTTCTCGATGAAGGATTGTATGGTGGATAAGCCAATTACGGTCAGACCACTCGTCCGCAATTGCTCGAAGCTCTCCACCTGAGGTTGCAGTGGAAGCTTGGTCAGCAGGGAGCTCAGCTTACAGCTGAAGAAGGTGCTGAAGATCATTCCGAACAAGATCATGGCCAGGAAAAGCAGGCGGAGCGAGACGGTCAGTCTGGGGCCAATGGGAAAGGGGAGTCCCAGGATGGCCCTGAAGGCGCGCATATTCACACAGGGATTCAGGTTGGTTAGACGATAGGAACGGCCTGAGATGCGATGGGTTGCGACCATAATGACGGTCTCCGCCACCACGAACGTGGCATAGACGGATAGGATGTACAGGAGCCAAGTCCTCAAGTCCAGCTTACGATAGACCTTTGCAATGCTTCTCTCCTTACCGCAGGGCACTACAACCATCAGCGAGGATAAAGTAAAGGCATTCACAGATTCAACTCGCTGGAGAAGGTCGCTCTTTGAAACAAAGTGCGGATTTAACTCAATATCGACGTACGGATCAGGCACATTGGAGTCCATTTTCTGAGCCCTTGACAGAGTCAAATTGTATTTCAGTGCAAACTCAATGATCTGCATGTCCTCGATCTGGGTGATGGGAAAATCGACGGTCGGTGCATTCTTGATGGTAAAGGGAATATTCAGGTTTTTCAGCAGGGTCGCCGTTTTTCCTTGGAAGTTGAGTGTAGGCCGGGCGAAAACGGATTCCTTTATGAACGAAACAGTCTCGATCCTCTCAAAGCGGGGACTTGGAAATGGTTTCAATCGATGCATCGTTTCCACACTTTGATGAAGTCCCAGAACGATCATACGAAGAAATTTATGCTCCTCGGCCTTGTCGGAGATCTGTTTGAGGAATTCCTCTGCTGGATTCCCTTGGGTCCACAGTATGATTCGCACATACCGCAAATGATCGAATGACTTGGCCAGAGCATCTAGGAGCAGACTCATGTGGGAGGGTTCCTCTAGGCAGACCAATGCCGCCGACATGTGATTGAAGTGCATCCTCAGGTCTATTTCTATCAGCTCGTTGACTCGTAGGATGGGAATACCATCGGGATTCCAGTCTTGAATCGAGCAGTCCTTGTCCTGATGGTGCTGCAGCATTAATAAAGTCTGAATCGGTTTTTCTTTGTGGATACGTTGGATCAAATTGGTGAGGAATGTCATCTGGGGCTGCTCGGTTTTCCCAGACACTGCCTGAGCTAGGAGCAGTATCAGCACTACTTTTATTTTGCCAAACATTGCAGCGATATCCAGTTTGATTCCTTCAGCGCTTGGATTAATAAAGTAAACTGAATTCGGTACCAGAAAGCGGTTTTCTAATTGCTCTAAGGTGACAATATTCTAATGGGTCTCGTTTGCACTTTATCAGATGACAGCTGTCCTTTATCGGAATGGTATAAACCGATTGACTTGATGGTCATCCAACATCACTGCAGATAGGTAAAAGTACTAAAGTTTTAAGGTGGAGCATTTTAGAGTATTTTAACCCGATACTCAAAAAGCATATTAGTGTGTAACACCCAGAAGGAAGCATTTCCAATCCCATAAAGTGTATATATTCTTGATCATCAGCTATAGCCGAGTCGTTATAGTCATGTCCGTTTGTCCGTCCGTTTGTCTGTCCGTCCGTCTCAGAGACTTTAGAAACTAGGGCTACGAAATTTTTAAAGTTTCAAAATTTTTACACGTTGAATCATTGAGAATGACCAAATATATCAGGTTACCGAATCTGAATCAGATTGGATGTTTATTTTAGCAAGAACGAACCCCAAACCCTGCGCCTATTCTCTATCTCTCTCTCTTTCTCTTTCTCTATTTAGTTTTCTATCAAAATCTTTGCCGTGGTTGAGAAAGCCTGACTCTCAGGCCCCACTAAGGATCAAGGCAATCGAAAAGTCGAACTTCTTGGTTCCAAATCCTTTAGACACATGCTTTTATTATTTATTCCATGTATATTTCAAATAGTGGGGTGCTTTATAAAGAGTGTGCAATTAGTGAATGTTAAACGGATAAAAATGGATACATTATGGTTATATATTTCTATAACGTTTACGCTGCGAACGTTTATAATTATAAGCAGGTAATTAGACCGTGGCGATCTCCTGGTCTCCTGAAGTTACAAGTACCTTGCTTTCAACCTTTCTCTTCCCATTTCCCATATAGACCTCCACGAGAAAGACCAAAGTGGCCAATCCGTAGCTACAGCCAAGGATCCAGAGCAGCCATCTCAAATGTTGGAGGGATAAAGGAACGAACTCTGGCTTAAGATCCGGTTGAAAAGTGATATTGAGACTCCTTCGAATAGCAGCTGGTAAAAATTGTAGCCAATGTGAAGGGATTCCGGACTCGAACAATGTTATGAAGAACTTGTTCATTGGCCACCTATATATGGAGTTCTTCGGCATTTTACGTACATCCTCGGTAGGTACTGTGAGATTGATAGGTTCTTTGACTCGCATAAGGTCTTCCGTCTAGTACTCTGCTGAGAAGTATCGAATACTCTCCAACACTCCATGAAAACTATAAAGGCGAGACTATCGTTCGCCAACATCATCAATAGAACCCGTTCCATAGCGTCCCGATATTCCAATATTGGTAAATATTGCCTGATGAACTCTTCATCAACCTCACTCTCGATGAAGGGTTGCACGGATCTATCTCCAGCGGAGCTCAGCTTACAGCGGTTGGATTAAAGAGTGAACTGAATTTGGTATCAGAAAATGGTTTTCCAATAGCTCTAAAGGGTCTCTCGTGTAAACTTAATCAGATGACAGCTGTCTTTCAGGCGATTGATATGATGGACATTCATTCACTTTACTGTTCAAAAGTAAATTAATGAAGGTTTTTGCAGTTTGTCTCATATTTTTCTTTACTATCCTAAAACATGAACCAAACCTTAAGTATTTTTAATTATTTTAAGATCTTCTAAGCTTCATATCTGCTCTTGTGCACCCCACAGCTGGCGTCAATTTCGTTTCGAAAGCCGAATATGTTCTCCTCTTTCTGTGCTGCTGATCGGTGGCATGTTTATGGGTCACTTGCTGAATTTATTTGTGCAACAATTGAGATTTCATTCGGAGAAGCCGTTTCCATTTGGTCGCTGATCGACGTCGAGAGCGACACATTTTCTCAGACAGACACCGCCGAGGCACGGCAGCGGCAGCAGCATTCTGGCCGTGGCAGTCGTGAACCGTTTGTTGTGCCGTTTGGAACGAGCGTTGTGCGCGTTTGATTAAAAGTGAAAAATGAATTTCCCCATCGCGTTCGATGCGCCGGTGCCGCCTGTCAGCGACTAACAAGTGTTGCCCCCTACCACCTACCTCCTACCGCTGCCCCTGCCACACGCCTCTGGGGCGTGGGCGAAGCGGAAATGAGAAATTTACGAAAACAATTATTAATTATCACGTTTTGTCAAATCAAATTGAAATAGTTCAGCGTTCCTGTGTGTCCCTAAGTGTGTGTCTGTGTTGTGTGTAAATAAACCCAAAAAAGCAAAATAAAATCCGTGTAAGTTGTGCAGCATTAGCCGGAGCTCTTACGGATATGCAAATCAGACAGTCAGGAGAAAGCATTTCCGATCCTAAAAAGTATATATACGAGTGTTCTTGACATTTCAACAAAAGTAATAGAAAATCATAGAAAAAATAATATATTCGTCGTATTTTTTTTAAATTTTCTTAGTATTTTTTTTTTGTTTACAGTTTTATAATTTTTTATTGGAGGTATATACAGTTTTGGTTAAATATATAACAAAAAAAAAATTTTAAAAAATCGTAGTATACCAAAAATTAATTTTTTCATATTTTAGGCCTGGGGAAAAAATAGAAACACACTCAAATTTTGTACTTATTTAGTTTTAAAACGGAATTATTTAAACAAATTAACAGCTGGACCATAAAATAAATTTTTTCAAAATTTTTCCACTCAAAGAAAGACAGTTTCAACAGTTTCTATGGAGTTAGCCATTTCTGATCCTCAAAAAGTGGTCAAGAATAGGTTCCTTCAGCACCAGTACTTCTACCTATTGCAGGTATCTCCCAGTAGAAGTTGCCAGAATACAGTCATGTCTTAATCTATAGCAACAAAAAATAATTTTAAAAAATTTTAGTGTACCAAAAATGTATTTTTTTATATTTTAGACCTGGGAAAAAAATAAAATCGCAATCAAATTTGGTACTTATTTGGTTTTAAAAAGTTTGAAATGGAATTATTTAAGCGAATTAATTATTTCAAAAATTTTTACACTCAAAGAAAGACAGTTTCTATGGGGTTAGCCATGTCCGATCCACAAAAAGTGGTTAAAAATAGGTTCCTCCAGTACCAGTAGCTCTACCTGTTGTAGGTATCAGCCAGTCTCCACAAACCATCATTATTTGTGTCTGTTGGTGGCAGCCTTTAGTGGCACACGCTCAATTAATTCGCTCAACACCTCACATGGGGCATGTGGCAATAATTTCACCGTCGCCGTTGCCTGTCGCACGCTTTAATAGTTCCACTAATTTTCAAATTTATAAACGCTCCACGTTGTGTCTTACAAATCTGTTTTATGTACAGTCAAACATTTGTATCACCTTCGATATGGGAAAGGCCAGCGGTGTTTGGAAAATCATAATCATCAGAAAAAGTAGCTATACCCAGGGTCGGAGAGCAAACACAGACCAGTTGTATATCTGGTCTGCTCTCTGCCCTGCTGCCAGGTTCTGCCTGGTTCTGCCTGGTTCTGGCATCAGTCAATGTCAGTTGGCCCAGTGCCAGGTCGACCGCGTGGGCGTAGACACAACAAACAAAGAAAAGCCGAGCGGAAAAGCTGAAAAGCGCAAATGAAAAGGGAAAGTGTCCAACTGTTTCGGCCACAACGAGACCCAGCCAGGGGCCAGAGATGTCTACAAGAATTTCCTTTCCAAAACAACTATTTTCAAGTGGTATTCAGCCTCCACGCGTCAAGTATCAAGTGTTTTTATGGCCAGAAATACAAAGAGACATACATATGTAGACAGTACGTGCTATAACTATAAGGCAGAGGGAAAAGGAAAAATTCCCGGAAAAAACTATTTTTTTATTAATTTTTGTAGCTATTGGCCACTCTGACATTTCTGCCCTGCACTGTATACTCTTTTATCTATAATGAACATAAATTTGGCCACATATATCCGCTCGATTGCAAACATATGTTTCAAAAAAAAAAAGCATGCCAAATATTCGTGGCATATTTTGTTTGTGGCATTTCTGGCGTATTATTTTAATTTCTATTAATTTTTCGCCGCCCCCATCATAGCCACTCGCCAAAAAGAAAACCAAAAATTATAGCCACATTTTTTTATGAGAATTTTTTAAATGGCTTTTATCGAGCCTATTGGACCCTGGCCCAAGTGCAAAATTTATGATTTCATTTATCATTCAAATTGGTTTTTCCTCACGCTTTTTGGCTCTGTTTTGTTTCACCGCTGAAAAATATATAGACTTGGAGGATTTCTGGACTTGTGCAATAATTGGCTTGATATGAAATGTAAATAACACAATGATATAATGTCTGATGCCATCTGGTTGAAGGCTGAAATCAGCTGTAAACTTGAACCACTTGGGAAGTGGGTCAGGGGGTTTTTCCATATCAAAAAGATTTTCCCTACTAATTATTAGCAGTTCTAAATGATACCATACCAAATTGATCTTGATCTTTGTTAGGGAAATGTCGATTCCATTTTCTATTTTACGCCACTGCATCATTTCCGTTTTCAAATTTCGTGCCAAAAACGTAAACGTCATGCACTTGGCCAGATCCGAACCCCATCCGATCCCAGCCGATCTACTCCACCCTGTGCTATATATTCCTTTTGTTGATTTTTTTATGTGTTTTGAAAATAAATTCAATTCAATGGAAGGCAAAATGTGTGCAAAATGCGCTGCTAAATTCGCGTTAATCTCCAAAATCACGAGCTGTTCCCTGGATCATCCATTTCTGTCTATCTATTTAGAGACTTCAGTGGATTCTTGGCTTTTGGGGGATCTGCTTAATGCAGTTGAATTAGATACACATACACATTCATTTATCTGTCGATCTGTTTGTATATCAAACAAATGTACCTTATCTGTCTGTATATGTATCTGTACTGTGTATCCATTGGAGTCTTTGCATTCATCTATATTTATACCCGATACTCAAAGAGTATAGAAATATACTAGTTCTGTGTAGATTTGTATAACACCCAGAAGAAAGCGTCTCCGATCCAATGAAGTACATA